CGGTCGCCATTAAACGAAAAAGGAAAAAGTAATCGTATAACTTATGAAATTTTATAGATAAACCCTGAGAAGCCCCACCTACCACCTTAAAGGCCTTTAATAGCCTTTACAAAATCTTATTAAAGACGCTTTAAGTCCTCCAAATCTTCTTACCGCTTAATACAGGGCAGTTTTTGTGAGCTGGCCTTAATAAAAGAGATATGAAGTTTCGCCTTTTTATGACCACTACAACTTGATCTCTGAAATTACGAAAAAAATTTTGAGCGTAAGCTTATCTCTTTGAATCAATCGATGGAACAGCAACGATTTAGTAGAAGTAGAGCTCCTTGTGAAAGAGTTCCTCCTGGGAAGTACTGCCACCTTAGCTATTTCTGACGCCAAGCAGTAATGTAAGCATTACTGTGTTCCGGTTTTAAAGGGTAAGGATGCTGGTTACGGACACATGGGACTTTTCAACTTATGTCTCAGGGCGACGGGCGCAGTGGCAGTGTCCCTCAGATCTTAGCGATTTAAAGCTCTGAGTCGCACTGCAACTGTTATGGACAGGCGTGTCGTTTATCATCAGGAGCACGACTTGTTCGGCCCGTCACTTGATATAAAAAAAATAAAAATAGATCGACCCATTGCATTGTTCATTAAAACAAAACATCCCTTTTACACTTGAAGTAATCTATATGACAAAGCATACAAATGAAGCTTCTTTCTTTCATTATAAATCAAATAATTTATCTCGCCTTCCAAAGTTTGTCTTAAATAGTTAGGATAGTAAATTTACATAAAGTTCTTTAACAAAATAGTGAAACTTCTTAAGGAAAGGTGAAGTTTTCCCCAGTATCGTTTACTCGCTTTTCTTAAAAATTGTTCTTGGAACACTTACTTTAAGAGTTCACGATGCTCTTGTTTCTAGTTCGTTGAATACTTTGGAGCGTACTTTTTAAACAACGTTAATAAAAAGGCATTTCAGAAAGGCGATCATTAGCAGTATTTGGGGCAGTATTTGAATTATTTGTAACTAGCTGGTGCCCGCGATTTCGTCTACGTAGAATAAGTAGTAGTAGCCAACTGTACCGTACTAATTGGACATAGTTATGCAAACTAGAACCAACCCACCAAATGTCACTTTCGAGATAATTAGACTTTTGTAAAAACAGTGTGAAGACATAAATAGGTAAGTTATTTGAAACAACAACGTTAGTTATGTGTAGCATTAAGAATGATATAAGGAAACTATTATATTATATAGCAATAAATAGAAAACATTATGTATCTTTTTTTTTAGTTAACGAGAATCATGTTCTATATTTCGTAATGAAAACGCTAAAGATCTACAGTACTTCAGTACATGTGACATGGATCCATTTAGCATATTTAAAAAAATACATTACATGGAGTTAAACAGCATGGTTCTTTTTAGCTATTAAAAAGTTACTTATTTAGGGTTGGTACCCTGAAGGACTTTTATTTTCTCCGTTTTGGCTTGGTATATTGCTAGGATCTTTAGAGAGCGGGTAAACGACACGTCTGGTGTTCTACCTAAATACAGAACTCAATTTCACTCGAGGCGTGGGTTGGTTCTTGTTTGCATTACTATGTCCAATTTTCATAGTTTTATTGCTTCTACAAATTTTCATTTCCTGTTTCAATCCCTTAAGGGTAATTCCATAGCGCTTGTAAGACCCGTTACTTTGACTAAAGATTGCATTTATGCATTCTGCCGGCTAATTGGATTATTATCCGAAACAAATTCGATAAACAGTTTTGTCTTTCAGGTTCAGTTGCTATTTAAACCCCTATTTCTACGACTTGCTTGTTAAAGTAAAAATTTTAAGTTACCGTTTCTGCTTATAATTTGATAAACTTACAATTGTGTTGTTTAATTCACTATTTTGTATTAATATTTATCAAACTTGATAGAGGTGTAATTTAAAAATTATTTTTACTGATTATTTGTCAAATTAAGACAGCATACTACTATAAATACTACGTTTACCTCTACCTCGGTTGTTACTTAAAATTTGTTTAAAAGAAGTTTATGAAAGGGTGCTTCGAGAACCGTAACGGGTGTTAACCCTTTATTTTAAATGGTAATTTTAAAGTAGTCTATGTCCTTCACGTAGTTACAATCTATCTCTATACCAAACTTCATCTAAATTGGTTCAGCGCTTGACGCTTGAAATCATAAGAGTCACTTTTAGTAGCGGAAGAGCTCCTTGTCAATGAGTTCGCCCATAGAAGTATTACCTTACCTATTTCTACCGCCAGGCAGTAATGTAAGCTTTACTGTGTTTCGGTTTTAAAGGGTTAAGGGTGCTCGTGAAATTACAGGCACATGGGACTTGTCAACTTATGTCTCAGGGTGTCTGGCGCAGTGGCAGTGGTCACGTCAGTCGCATGTAATAATGAATTGGGGGCCAACTCAGGTCAAGACGACCACAGCAGACCTTGTCGATGATGGCGGCATGATTTGGACTCGTCTTTTAAAGGATATGCAGTCTGAAACTGAGACTAATGGTAAAAGTTGATGAGACCTTTGCCCAGCAATAGGATATAACAGGCTTATAATAAACAATATAATTAAATGAGGTCAAAGGTATTTCCAACAGGTCACCTCATGAAAGTATAAATAGGGAATAATTTCTTAAGTAAAGGGTATTTATTATACAGCTTCAGCGTACTTGTACGTGTAAGGCTGCGGAAATCCGCTGGATGCAAGCGGCCCAGAACAAGTTGTTGTGTTATTCTTTGGGGGAGGCCTATGTTCAGCAGTGGACGTCTATTGGCTGAAGTGTTGAATGATGAATATATAAAATGTATAATTACATCATACGTAATTCTAGCCCTGTAAAGGACGCATTCAATTTCACTATGGGCAGCAATAAACAAAGGCTAAACAATTAATTAGGTTTATACTCTCATTAAGTGGCGGAGTTTTTACGGACTTTGTAATGGTGTCAAAATACACAAGCGTTACTATTTCTGGGTCCAACAGTAAGGACGCGTTCCCATTATGTCGTGACGACAGATAATCGCTCAGTTTAAAGTGTTGTGGCTTGTATATTTAAATGAGGTTGTTCACATGTAGTACAACACGATTAACAAACAGTACGACGATACAGACTGTCGTGACAATGGGAAGTGCTAGAACGATAGTCGGCTGACGATAAATAAAACGTCACGATAATAATGTGACGACAAATAATCGCAACTACAAACGTTTCTGTCGTGCAAACGACGAGGCGGCTGCCGTGAACCGACAAATTGTCGTCACGATCTAGTGGGAACAGCTAGGTACGGCAGTCGTTCACCGATAAAATAAACGTCCACAACACAGTTACGACAAATAGTCGTCGGTATAGGAACAAGCTAGACGCAACAGTCGTCCAACGATAAATAAAACGTTACAACATAATGGGAACGCGCCCTAACTGTGAGCTTTATTAACTTCTAGTGACGTTTACAAAGTTCGAATTCGTTACATAAATTGTAATTTACACATAGTACAATTACGCGCTACAACTGTACTGTGAGAAAAAAGGTGAACGGCTTTTGAATGGTAACAACTTGCATGGAATCTGCCTTGTTTGAATTTGATAGGCAATTCAACTGATGGGCTTACTGAGCAGTGTATTTAAATGGAGTAGCAGTATTATTTCCATATATTTACCGGAATTCAATTCATAACTTACAAAATATATTTCTACTTGCGACCCAGACAACAATTACCAGACAATGATTTCAAGAAGCAAATTCAATCCGTAAATAAAACGTCAAAAAGCTTGATAAATAACATTCGTTTTTAATCACTATCGAAGAAAGAAATACAATTATGATTAGTTGAAACGATGTTTTTAATTCACTAGAATACTAAATGTCAACAATTACCTTTACTAAGGTCCAATGTGAATCACGCAGTTAAATAATTTTATTATGAACATAAATAATTGTTCGTGGGCAGATTGGCATTTGTTTTCAATCTTTGTACATTACTTTTTATGTGTTCTTAAAATATTACGAGATTGTAGGCTGTGAGTTTAGTGTACGATTGATATCACGATAAATAAGAGCTCTGACAAATTTTCCTTGGGTATGCCTTCATACCAATAATTAACCGTCAGTTCTTCAATGTGAAGAATTATATCGTTGATTTCGCTCATTTCAAAGTTTTGTAAAATACTCGCACGTCCATAGGAAACATGTGTGGTACGGAGCTACGAATAAAACTGGTGCCGTTGTACCAGGCGGACATAAGCACGCGCGTCATAAAAAAGTTACGAGGAGTTATCAAAAGGGCGCAGTAAAAAACCCGGGTACACAACTCGACAGACGACGGTGTACGCTATAAAGCGCCGGCAGCGATGGAGTAACATCCCTGTTGCTTTGACATCCTGGTACTTGAATTTAATGGGCCTTTTGCCAGGCAAGTTTGCTGCTCATCATTGACAGCTGTTCGTTCAAAATGTGGAAACGTTTGTCTTTAACGAAGCATAAAATTAACTTTTCTGAGATTATCTATGAAATTAATCGAGCTAACGGTATTCTGAAAACGTGACCTTATTCGGTAAAGTATTTCATTTGGTAATACTGCAAGTCTGTTCGTGCTTCACGAAGGGTCTTCTGCAATGTAATGGATCGTTTAGTTGTAAATTATAATCAATATTCATAACATAACACCCGGTTCTTCAACACTAAGCACTCGTCTAAGTTTACAACACGCTCCGGGAGAGTAACGCTTATCTTCTAGGTTTTATGACTAGTTTACGATTATTGCCTCTTTGAAACGCTTATAACTTCGTAGGATATGAAATTTCTACATGTACGTATAATTTTAAATGGACATGTTCATTTAAAGTACATTATTGAGGCGCAGCATTAATTTTTACGGCCGGCCTCGAGAGCGCCGCGGTTCTTGAATACGGCTATCTTTGCTCGATACCAACCTCTTCCACAACTTGCAGATAAAACTGTATTATTTATTGCATACACGCACATTACGATTACTGTTGTCTGGAGTGGATTCGCAATAAAATAAAAAGGCTTTAATATTCAACTTAAAGTTGTAGGCACTTAAGGAATATGTGAACGGAATGACATCGACAACTCTTAAACAGCGTTAAAATCTAATTTATGTCTGTACCTAAGATATTGAAGCCTGTGTCCACAGTAGCATCGATGGCAGCAAGCTATTTGCATTGACAGTGCGAAATGTGATCCCAATTCATTGTTCATCTTGTGCTTTTTTCTGAAGTGACTCGCGGTTGTTCGATGATGATGATGGTTTGGTGACAGAATGACAGAAGTTGATGTTGTTACAGGTCTACAATGGTGTGTGGGCGCGCGCGGGTTGGCGCGCGGGGGGTGCGGGCGAGTGAGCGGCGCGGCGGCGCATGGCGGCGCCAATGAGGGAGGGCGCGCCGGCCGGCGGACCTCGCCCCGCGCCCCACCATCACCCCGCCAATTTCGAGTACGATGACAACGAGTGGGACATCGGCATCGGCGACCTCATCATAGACCTCGATGCCGACATAGAGAAGACCGACGAGGCGGGCGGCATGGCGGCGCGCGCCGAACCTGACGCGCAGCGCACGGCGCTCAAGATGAAGATCAAGCGCACCAAGCCCGGCACCAAGAGCTCCGAGGCCAAGCACGAGATCGTCAAGTCGAACGAAATGAACGGCGAGCCGAAGGGGACGGCGCTCGCCGCACCGCCCGCCGCCGCTAAGCGCGGCTCCGGCGGCCACCGCCGTGACAAGGCGCGTGACAAGCACCACCACCCGCACCCGCACGCGCCGCATGCACCCCACGCGTCTCACGCGCCACATCCGCCGCATGACGTAAACGGCGTTGCGCGCGTGCCGCCTCCACCCAACGCGCCGGGCCCGCCCGTGACCGCGCCAGCGCCGCCGCCGTCCGCGCCTTCCGCAGCCGACACACGGCCTGCGCCCGCGCCGCGCTCCGACGTCAAACTAAATGCTCCACCTCCCGCACCCGCGCCTGCGCCACTGCCCCCCCCTGCGCCAGCGCCGCACACGGCGCCCGCAACGCCTAAACCCGAACCCGACGACTCGCGGCAGGATTCCCATTCCGCGCAGCCTCCTGCCAAGAAACTAAAAATGGAACCCAAGGTAAGTTTTTTCTTGTTCACAAGTCACCAACATTATGACAGTGAAGTTAACTAGCTCATTTAGTGCCTAGATTCTTAATCTTCAAAATCACACCTTGGCCTCAAGGTTTACACAGCACGTGTGTTCTACTGTTTGTTTATCTCAACAATTCATCATAACATCAGATTTAACTGTCTACACACAAATAATAGATTCCGAAGCAATCCATCACGCGATAACACCAGTCGGGTGATTGCTCTTATCGGTTTGTACCCGATTGTTTCGGCGATTCGTATTTAATTGTGCGGCTTAGCTGTTTGCGAGGCTGATTGAGTGCGAGTGGGGAGTAATCCGGCGTCACCCGCCGCAGTTCATTAAATCACCCACCCCGCCATGCTAGCGGCTGGCGGGTGATCACAATAGCTGCACTCAAATTAATGCGATTGTGGTCGGATAAGGCGTGCGCTCGATGCATCTGCTCGGTAAACTAATACCAAGACATGACAACTACCCACAACACAGGTAATGCGGTTATTCGCCAAACATTGTTGATAAACGATCAATGTTGAAGGTAATAGAAGCAACTACAAATCGGTAAGCACTTACAAAACTAGGGAAGTTTTCCGGTCATGTGCACGAAAAACAAAGATAAATTAACAGTATTGCAACGGATTTTAACAGCTTTATTGTACTGATATCCTGTGTGCGTGCACCGCTGTAAGTAAGCGTCTTTCACAATTGGTATATGCAAACATCCTCGTCATCAGTCATGAGGACGTGACTGAGGCTATTGCCAAACGTTTATGCGATCGGCTCGACACTTATGAACTCATCACGTTTAAACCACAGTTAAATTATGTTACATCGCACGACGTACCTACACGTACAAATGGTACAGCTGCTTGAGCAATAACATGAGATATTTTAACCGCAGCATTTTATGACAGGGCTAAATTACTGTAGCTTGATATTCGCACACGTAACGAGGCGAAGGGGAGAGTCCCCTTTGCTTTCTTTGGAATTATTCGCAAGCACCAGGGGAGCAGAAGGAGCGAACACATTCGCCTTCCAAATTCCATTCATTAATCACTGTCGAGGGCTCTAAAAATTTCCAAAGTACTTGAAGAATCAATTTAATGTTCACTCCCTAACTGAGAAGTTTTTACTTGATAATTAAAGAAGAGATCAATTTGAAGTCCTTTAACCTTCGCTATGACGTACTTACTTTTCCTTTATTTGATGCTTCTTTTTAATGACTTTTAGGACTACGTGACGTGTGAAGCTCTGTCATTATTTGCTGTCTTATGGATCTGTAAACTGGTACCTATTGTCTGCCGTCCTAATACTTAAACTGTCACATAATACACTATTATTACGACCAAATTGCAAACAAGGAGACTCCCTTGTCAATACGAACTTTTCAATCCCCGTGTATCGCAATATGCGCCATTCAAAAGAATAAAACTCGTGTCGTAATTCTATGTTTGATTTGATTAATTTATAATGGAACAACCTTCGACTTAAAAATTTACAAAGTGTTTTATTGCCAAAGCAAGTTATTCAAATCTTTAAATGGGACCTACATCAATTTAAATGCCAATTATTCTACGTGTAATTAATTTTATTGCGATCCATAAAAGAAGTTGGATGATGTCATTTGTACCAGACAGCAGCATTTCACTTTATACGGCCATTCAGTTTTTCTTCTTTTTTTTGTAAGACAAATACATTTATTGCATTAAAATAAGAAACACGATCGGTAAACAGACGTTTACGATGAAATATTTTGTTAATGTATTACTCCAACATATTTAATTACCCGTTAAATTGTCGAGAATGATTGACGTAAACAATTAATACTAAAGTTAAATGTCGAATGAACTAATTGGGAGCGATCAATTCGAGTAAGTTGTTAAATATAATAAGATATCTATCAGAGTGACCGGGGGAGCATGATATTTTACATGTTCATGTCGTCGCAAATGAGGTTAATAGCACCGCTCGCTCGATTATACTGACCGTTCCGAATAAATTTACATGTTGATTGCCGCTGATCAGTGTTCTCACTCGACTACCTGCTAACAGGGAGACTTGCGTCGCTTAGTAATAAATATCTCGCCAACCTCGCCACTCTTACAACCAGTCTCGTGTCATTCGATAATTGTTCCCCTGTCGATGCAATAGAATTGCAATTTAACTCAATTAAAATACAAATGATAATGAAAGCTAATCGCCGATTGTAAACGCCTAGTTAAATAGCTAATAAGAGATTCATCGCTAATTTGTTATGAACACGACACGGTGCCCCGAATAAGTAAATGTAACAACGTATTGATTTTAGTGGAGCATGTTGAATTGAACGTTGCATAAACCAACACCAATAAGAGTGATAAATTTTGATGAGTTTTTCGCCTCAATGGATTTATTTATACGCCGGAACGGACGGATCGCGTTACCTGCCCGCGGCGCATCATCATACATTTCACAAAAACCTTATTACTACATCCCAAATGCTTACCTTTCGGTCATGCCGTGAATTAAAATATCGGATACTCGCCGTAATTGATTGATGCGATAAAATAAATCGGCTCTCTCGGGGCAGGTAATGACTCCTCGTGGCGGCGTAGGGCCACGGAACGAATCGCAATAATTGCAACGAATGTTCCGAGTTAATTATTTTAGAGCTCGTCGGCGGCGCGGGACTCGCCGTCGACGCCCACCTACTTACGAAATGAGTTCTCCAAATTTGAGCCGATTATTATGTCAAAGGTATTTTAGAACGATATCGTAGCTTGCGCTACTTTGGAAATAATTGGTAGAGAACTTGAGTAAATTTACGACAAGAATTTGTTCAAATATATTCCAGTAAGCGAGTGAACCGATGCAGAGAACAGAATGCGCAAGGTAGTTGGCAGCTGACAGGCCGTCGGCCGACTGCTGTGTAATTATTATTGGCGTAATTAGGATGTGTAGCCCGCGACCCGCGGTGCCGACAGCCGCTCTCTAACAAACGCCATTATTATTTCCGCTTGGCGTTACCCGCGCGCTGCGGTTTGTTACGCTCTCGCTTGTTATGTCACGAGCTATTGAAATGATCATAAATAATCCCTCCGAACAACAAATTGATTCAACATTAATTGCCTCCATCTGTAAATCATCTCACGGACGTTTATGTACATTCGTACATACAGTTAGTTAACGGTTCTGTGTTATTTCGAAATCATAACTTAGACTGATTGACAGCAACATAAAAGCTATGTTGATTACACAAAGACGTTTCGTTGGGCAGATATGACTTCAATTAACACTAAATTCCCTCTGTCGTCACTTTTATACTCGAATAAATTCCCCTGCATCTTGTCATAAACCCATTTAAGTTTCACGGCATCCTGTGCCTCCGACGTTGTTGGGTGGCAGGTTAACTGCGCGTTGTGTTCGGTCGACCGGTCGTGGAATCAGTCGGGCGATGGGTCGCGCTTGTCGTTGGCGAGGGTCGTAATCCGCAGCTGGCGTCTCGGTACCTGGTTTCTTTGTTCGCGTGGAAAGTTTTGCGAGCGCAGCGCGGAACTGATTTGTCGCAGTGAACGCTGCATTCGAAATGCTTATATAGGGGAGTGAGTGCCATTATAACTTACAATTGCTAGCTCGGTATGCTGACCCTACGGCGTGCATGATAAAACTTTACTGCTTATTGTTATTTGCGGACGCAGATATCCGTGCCGCATATTATCAGAGCATATCAATATAGTTTCCTTAAGAAAGAGTTATTTTCGATATGTGGAGACAGATAAATAAGAATCAAGATCAAACGAGTAAAATAAAATACAAAACGATCAAGGGTTCACAATCCAATCCGGCGACCGGTTTGTCGACTAATAAAACCTCTGCGAGCACAATATAGGGGAGCTAAGGATCAAAAGCCGATTTTTTGTTACAATTTTTTATAAGCCGCTATTTTGCCCTCTTTTGTGTTCGTGTTGTTTACTAATGGGTTCTGCTGGGTTCGACTTAAGATAATAACTTGGTTTTTTCTCGCCCATGTGTCGCGGAGGCGAGTTTTTGCCGCCGGAAATACGAGAATGTTGTTGGGCAGGATTAAAATATATTTGTTGATCTTTCGGCTTAATCTGTAAACGGGCGAGTGGCTCGCGTTCGCCGCGTGTTTTTTATTATCGCCGTCTGACGATTGCTGGCGTTTTTAATTCACCGTTCGGGTTTGTTTTGTAAATTGATTCCGACGTTGAAATTATAGCACGGCATTACCGTTCCCTCTCACCCTAATTTTTCACTCCAGCTTGGCATCCGGTGCTACGCAACACTAATCGTTATCGCCGCTTAATCAATCACTTCGGTTTAATTCCCCAATATCCCGCATTCCAACTAACAACTACATGTAGGGTGGCGTATCACCGACGACGACCAGATTCGTGCCAATAACATAAATTGTCACGGGCGGTCGGAAGTATCCGCTCCCCGCGCCGCGCCTCGTCCTCCGCTCACTCGCCAGCCGAGATTGCTGTCGACTCCACAATCGATATTCAATCTCTTTGACGTTTTATACGGTCCCCACTTTCTTAAACTTTGTCGTCGTTTAGACTTTGATTTGTATTGAAATCTCTCGACTGACCCATCTCTTTATTCTCGTATTCGGTTTGTTGTTAATTTAACAAAAAAATATTTCGTTTTCTTGACTGGGCAAATGCTGAGATAAAGTCGAACGTAGGTCGGATATCGAATTCAGATTCATTCGTTAATATGGTGGTTGCGAGGACGTGCTTTGTGAACAGTGATTTAATAAAGACGCTATCGCAATTTTTCATAGTTTGACGAATGCGGTGACCGCACCAGACGGCTTTTAAGACCGTAAATCTCGTAAATTCCGACATAGTTGAACTAACTAATTAGCGGATTCCGGAGGCAGCGAGTGGCATTGGCCGGAGGTAATTACGATTCCGACTCACGTCGCTTATCCTAGTAAGTTATAATTGAAAGCTGGCCCAGAAGCCGAGCGCGTGTATCGT